TTCCTCAAACATCCAAAATAACGTGTTTATTGCGCAACACTCTAAATATGATCGTGTTGCTGTCAAATGTACAGTCGACAGTAAAAGTTATTATCGACTTTATATCTGAGGGATAAGAAAACATGCAACTTGTGTTGCAGACTGTAACGCCCCGTAAAATGTTCAGTTAACAGTCGTGTTGCGGCGGAATTAACTGTAGGATTAAAACGCCGTGTTCATTAGCCGCAGTGGACACACATTTACGTTAAATTAGGGTATGTGTCCACTAAACAAGAATGAACTAACAAGTTTAAATGAGAAACAGCCTCTATACAGTGAAAAATAGTTTGTATATTCGTATGAGCAGATCACTCGTATGCCATTGAATTTTCTAACCAGAATTTGCCTTTCCAGCAACGCTTTAGCAGATTCTAAGTACCTAATCAATCAAATCGGCAGTGGGAGACGGCGTATGTGACTGCACCAGACAGTCTGCCAACGGAGAAAGATGGCGGGAGATCGTGCGGAGAGCTGTATCTGCCTCTACAACCGATGTGAACAACGCCTCAACGTGACCACGACCGTTCAGCCAAGAGCGAAACAAATAGAAGAAGTAACCAAAAGTAGCGCAAGCTCTCTTTTGCGCACTGGACACAGTGGCTAACGTTTCATCGTGACATTTACGCGGCGTGTTCTGAAAGGTCGTCCGAAAATATATTACTTTCCCGGATTGATGGCCCGCGCCCGTGACGCGGGAGCCAGCCTTCGGTTCGCAAACAATACGCTAAAGGTACGGCCACACCAACGCGTGCAGCCTGCGTGCGCGATGGCGATGGCGATCAGTGGCCTAATTCACGTATTTAGACACAGTCAAAATGGAAGTGGTCCTATTGAAAAACAGTTCTAAAACCGTATTCACAAGTCAATTCGATAGAACGATTACTCGATTTGTAGCGATGACTTCACATCAACGCGTCCTGTCATTGGTCGCGGTTGCTAAGCCCGCGCAGTGAGGTTAGCTCATTGGTTTGGCCGAAGCTTAAGTTGTAGAATGGAGAAAAATGTTATAGAGGTGATATCAATAGACTTTGGATCGAAAACGCTAGTTTAAGATGCTGAAAAACGTAATGAAGTAACAGCGCGTATGTAAACAATGCACTAAGTTCGTCAACGCGCCGCGAAAACGAAGAAAAACTTCGTATAGGTGATATCAATAGACATTGGATAGAAAACGCTTCTCTAGCAGATCAGAAACACCAGACACTATACTGTAGTGGTGTGATGGTGGTGGTTGAATCATATTGAAGGAAGGAATAACAGTAATATTGCTGTCATTATTACTAATAGAGTCTGGTCCGTTTTTAAGATACTGAAAAACGCATGAAAGTAAAAATAGAAACGTGTTGTTTACTTTTTGGTTTTGATATGCTTGATATTTGATGCTCATATACCTACTTCAGCTGTCTAATATTAGAGTAATTATTATAAGTTAAAACCTAATCCTGTCCCTATCAACTTCGATCAAATGATAGCGATCAAATAATGTTAGATCGAAAGATACGAGTAGGCTAAATAATTATGCACTGTGCAAGTGCAACTAATGCCAATTTCGCCTGAAACACAGGTTTTTAACCTAGCTCAGGCTACAAAAGACTATTGAACTATATGTAAACTCTAGCATAATAAGTTCTTATAATGTTCTTATTTTAATGAATAAATTATTATTTATTATTTATTTATTTATTAATGGGACAATATTATTTGATCCTCTAAAAACTAATTGATCTTTTTTGTATGTGCACTTTTAAAAATAAATGATGTTTTTTATTATATTTTATCTTTATATTAATTATTGGGTCTATATTAGTTGATCTACGGATAAATTACGAATGATCTTCATTTAAGGTAACATAATATTTATGTTTAACATACTCTTTTAATATTTGGTAATCAAAAATAATATTTGATCCTCTTTTTTAGTTATTGATCTTTAATTTTGTTAATTTGATGATTTTTATACCAAGTTTGCCGTTTAATATTGATCACCTAATAAATACATTTCGATCTATGTATAACTTAACTTTAAAATATATTTGATCCAACAAAACATATTATTGGTTAATATTTTTAATTAAAAAATATCTTTTAATTTACGCGGTACTTTTAGGCCAGTAGAATTAAACACAAAAATTGATTAAATCGGAAATAATTCCTACAAAAGATTTTTTGGCTTTAATGGCTTCATTGGTTGCCCATTAAGACTCTCCTAAGTTTTCGACTTCGACGGAGTTGTGCTTAAGTGGCGGGGGCCCCCGAAAGNTATAATTTATGGTTAAACAAACTTACCTTAAGTGAAGTTTGACCGTAATTATACGAGTCGCTGCATCCGAAGAGATTTTCATTCCCGCCCTACCCCTAAGTTTACACTTAACTTACCCTTACTTAACTTTAGCGAAATCATACTCTGAAATGAATGACGACTCGACGGTTGTAGGAGTGTGACGTAAGCGTGCCCCACTACCGCCGGATATCGAGTCACAACAAGTACTTTTTTGTATTGTATGCTCTAAAATGTTCGATGCCTAGTACAATGAGAAGTGGACTACCTGGTAAATATGAAAATCTCTTCGGATGCAGCGACTCGTATAATTACGGTCAAACTTCACTTAAGGTAAGTTTGTTTAACCATAAATTAAATGCCCTTCAAACATCAGGAAGACCACTTTTCGATAGGGTAAGTCCTTTACGCGGTATAACTGGAAAACCGAAAAAGCGCCCCTTTCGGGGGCCTCCACCACTTAAGCACAACTTCGTCTAAGTCGAAAACTTAGGAGAGTCTTAATGGGCAACCAATGAAGCCATTAAAGCAATAAAATCTTTTGTAGGAATTATTTCCGATTTAAAAGCTAATTCTACTGGACTATTTGTGGTTGAGTGACAATCGTCCGTCATTGATTACTGAGTTGGCCAAGGGCTTAGCGGCCAATAAGCAAGCAGAATGGTACATTGCCATGTTTGTTTAAATTACAAGCTTTGCTTAGTTTGGGACTAGAGGCGCTATGTAAAATAATTTCTTACTTCTGACATCCCTGAACCCGACATCATAATTTTTACCTCTTTATTTTTTTCAACTCGACCGTGATCAGTGACCATAAAGTCATCTGTCAACGGGTCGATTAGACACGATAAAAGCACTAAACGATATTTGTTTACTTTTAGTGCGACATCGGGTCGTAAGGACCTGATAAGTTTTTTTTTCCAAATATTTACTGTGTTTGACGAAACAATTGCAAAACAATATTTATCTTTCGTACTACTGAAAAGACCGAATATATCCATCCCGCACCAACGCATCCAGCACCTAAGGTCAATTCGACCCGATAACGCAGTGTGAACGTGTTAAGTATGCTTTTTTAATAAAAAAAAAATCTTTGAACATCAAGTGCCTTTAAATAGTTTCCATCCTTTGACTACAACTTAATAAAAATAGGTACCATAACATAATTATTTTGAAGATTATTTGATATAGACAAAAAATAATTTATACAAATCGAATTATTTAAAAAAGTATCACAATATTGAATATTTGGTGCCCATTTCTTTTATATTTGAGGACCAACAAGTAACGATCAGATATAATTTTTACATCTCAAATTTTTTTTGCGTAGTTCAAAAGAGGTTAAAATATCGATCGATTTTATTTATTTTATGTATCAAAGAAAGAGGATCAATCATTAAAATAGATGACCATTTAGATTTTTTTATTTGCCGTTTTTGCTAATTTAAAAAGATCATTTAAATACATGCCTTTATTAATTAGAATTTATATTGGAAGGCATATTATATGAAACTTTTAATAGCCGCTTAATTGAATACGCTTGTCATTTTTTAGAGCTTTGTTGATTGATGGATTGATATTGAAATTTTATTTTTACCTGCACTCTTTTGATGATATTTTAGAACAGGTATTCAGTGACTAGTTCGACATAGAAAGAACGATATTCCAGGCTTAACCTTAGCCACTACTAGGTTAGTTCCTTAAGCAGTATACATTTATTTTATTTATTTATTTAAACTTTTATGCCAAAATAAATTTGTACATTTGTACATGCTAGTGTAAATAAACAGCCTAGGATGACAGTTACTACGAGCACATTACTACTAATAATAGTAGTAATGTTAATTATTATTAATTTGAAGAATTCACGGTAGGTACCCATTGATAACAATCTGATAGTAAATTTTAAGAGACATTGAATTAAAACCATAATGGCTTCATTAGTACCGTATGCTACGATTAATGGCCTCTTACACAAAAATTATGTTAATTTTCAAGATAGAGGTGTGTGAAGATGTCAGCTGTCTCTTCGTCGGTAGAGTCAGAAAAAAATGCAAACTCATTAGATAGAGGTTTGTATAAAATTGGACTGTATTTCAACTGGAAAGATAAGAGAAGGGATCACATGATAATCTAGTAGATAAAATATTATTATAATTAAAATTGTAAAAAAATATTAATTATAATATTCATCGCCATTATTTAATCACATATTTTCTCATCGGTTTGTCTCAAATGAATAGTTTTTATCAGTCAGTCAGTATCAGGATTGTGAATTTATTTGCTCTTCTAGGACTGCTCATAGCTGGCAGCTTTTGAATGACAATGGGAAAAGTTCTAGGGAATGTGCACTTACCAGGTGCGCGGACGCATACGGGCTGAGGGAAGTGCCCATTTGAACAATTTTGTATCAGTCAGTATCAGACTTTTGTTCTTATCCCTTCTTTTGGGACTGGCAGTACATTTTCACCAATAGTTTTGTTGCTGTCCCTACTGCGTATCGGTTGGTCACACACGGCGCGTGCGCACGTCAGGTGTGCGGACGCATACGGGCTCCGGGAAGTGCCCATTTGAACAATTTTGTATCAGTCAGTATCAGACTTTTGTTCTTATCCCTTCTTTTGGGACTGGCAGTACATTTTCACCAACAGTTTTGTAGCTGTCCCTACTGCGTACCGGTTGGTCACACACGGCGCGTGCGCAGGCCAGGTGCGCGGACGCATACGGGCTCCGGGAAGTGCCCATTGGAACCAGATAAGCACGCCGCGTGAATTTTGAGTAGAAGTCGCTTGGTAGTAGCCTAACGGCTAATACGCCAATTTTTAGTAAATACATTAAAGAATCAGGCACAAAATGTATAAAAAAAATTCAAATTTCGGCACTTTACTCCGTGACCACGGCGCTTGCAACAGTGCCGAAATATCGGAAACTCAAAATTAAGGTAGCAATCCCGTAAAGAATTATGTTAGTGACCATGAAAGTTCGAAACAATAAAATTAATTTGGTTTCTAAGGTAATGTAAAACTCTCTCGTAGAATCTCTCGATTCGTATTGATTAACTTATTAATGCGGAAATTTGTGAGGATGGATCAGTGTTTGTTTCTCTTTCACGCAATTAAACTAAGAACATCGGAAACACGAGCTCTACAACAATTTCATTAAGTAATGCAAACTTCTAAATATAGCCTTATTACATCCAATTACTTAATTGGATTTTGTTTTACGAAAACTCATGTAAACAATCAACACCTTGGGCTAGCATGTGGTGCAAACAAGGTCGGTATTTACGTGGAATCGTACGCATAACAATATTCCATTACGAGCCTGCGTGCAAAATATTTGCTTGGTACACGGCAAAAACCGGGTATGGTACGGTACACACTTCCAGCTTGATCGGCGCTTCAAGGCTTTGCATGCAAGCAAACAATTAGAAGGATAGGCTTTAGGCCAAAGATTGGGTTAGCAGGGTTGTCGATCTTGCCTTTACTTATTCGTGTCTAGTGTTTGTTTACGCCACTTCTAGCACAAAACATTGCAGCCAAACTGATTAAAACCAAACTCTGTGTTCAGATCCTGAGGCAAAAGCAATGTGGTAGCATAAACGACGAAATGCTGAATTTCGTTCTCATAGAGCTGCAGGCCTTAGTCACACTTTATAATTCGCTCCGTAATTTGATTTATTATCTTTAGTGATATAACGTGTATTGAATACATTGTCTGTAAAATGACTCAAACAACAAAGGATTCCTTCAATTTTGTCAACATAAAAACAATTTAGCAAAAGGATGAAAATAACGTTCGCATTTCATCGACACGTGTCACTCATTATTACGGGATAAGATGTAACGTAAACAATACTCACCCCATCTTAGTTATTTGGGTTACAAAAGTAGGCAGGTACTTCGTTATTTTAGCGTTGAGATAAAAAATGTAAAGTGATGTTATTACGCAAATTGGCCTTAATCTTACACGCTGTTAGTTTCCACAACAAAGCTCGTAATACGACCAGTCTTCAAATTGACCTGATTCCGAGAAAGAGGCAAAAATATATTTGCTAAGCCTGAAATAACATCTGAGAGTACTGGAGATAAATACGTTTTAACCTGTGTATATTTCTTCAGAAAATGTTTTATTTACGACTGTTGTGTATCAAAAGGGCAAGGGATTATTTGCTAAAGCACAATTCAGAATACTCATAACACCGTTGATCTTAATTTGCCCAATCAGTAACGCACTAAGCTCACAGCGTGATGACAGCGACGTCATAGTGATACATTTACAAATAATGCATTCCAATGGTACGAGTAAGTATTTGCAGGCCTGATCATCTCCGCGAGTTTACATCGAAAACAAAACACGCACGATGGCCCACCTACAGGATACTATTCGACAAGGCCTCACATACGAGCGAACATTGACTCACGCACGCGTATTCTTGTGTATGATGGAAGAAAATAAAAAAAATGGTGTACTAAATACTGTGCAGTATTTAACTGCCTAAATAATAATAAAAACACAGAATGTACTTTTTTAAGCCGCCTTCGGGGACTGGTCAAGGAAAGATATACCTGACATAAAATATATGTATCAAAACGCAACAATTAACCTAGAAATTAGCACGGCACTAAAGAAATATATTCAAAACTGCCACGCGGTCTCGTGCTAGATGGGCGTCTTAAAGGCCACCTTCTATCAACGGGAGCGCGTGGTAAGTAACTTGCTTCTGAATGTATGTAACTTCCTACTTTTTTATATTTTTTTTATATTTTTAAACCGGCAGACAGTGGTGACTGAGTTTGTTGCGGCGCTTCTTCTCAGCACTTGCCAAATGTTTGTCTCGAAGCGCTGGTAGGGAAAAAAAAGAATGAGACATGTATAGGCTCCTTAAGAGCATTTGACGATTTGCAAGAACTAATGTACTTAATTAGTCTAAACAAATAAAGATAATTTTGATTAAGTTGCCTCAAGACACTCGAGAGGTAAATAAGTAGTTAATATTATTCATGAAGTCAGCCCTATAGCTTCGGCGCAGTGCCGATCACTGACGTTTGTGAACAAAATGGAGCTTGACTCTTGAGACAGGCTAAATTACACCATATTGTTAATGACATTGAGCATACATTTTTTTAAATACCTTCGCGAAGTAAAACTTCTGTACGTAGTACTTATTATTATTCTGTGGTATTTGTATCAAACGTGTTTGGAATGTGATTTTTCATGGTACCAGTCAGCGTCATAGTTCGGAATACCCAAAGTAGCCAAAAGTTCGCAACACATCCTTGTTACAATTTGAATAAGGTTGTCTTGTACACTTTTTGGCCATAAATCGATATAAATAAATAATACAGAGATTAATCTAGGACTTACCTGACTGGGATGGTGCCGGTACAGATACAGTTTCGTCCCGTGGAGCACCCCCCACACTTGCTTCCACGATCTGTCACTTGCTCGCTGTTAGAAAAAACACATCTATTTGGTAAATTGTCATAAAAATCTCTTATAGTTAAAAAGCTCTACATAGATACAGGGTGTATATTCTTAAGTTTACTTCCATATAGCTACAGGATGTGTATTGTGCATATAGCTTTAAGATTTGACGTAAATATCAGTTTAATATTCTTTAAATGCGTATTTTAGACGAATATTTTTATTTACTATTTTTCAGGACTAGATGGCGTTAGTGAACATTATATATCTCGATATAAATCTTCTGTGCTAGTGTATCGGATATAAGATTCAAAGCTACTGAAAAGACACTGGGCAACTATGAAAAGCTTGGTTCTTGGACCACTTTCGCCCAGTCTTTTTCGTACTTTATTTTTATTAATTAGGACTAATTTTGACGGTGATTATTATTAGGATATGTATTACTTTCTTACCTTCCCATTGCTCACCACCATCTTGACTTGCACATTCCCCTGGACGTCTCCTTCGGCCGGCACAGCCTCCACTGTCCCTTCTCCCTTCTTCTCTGAACTAAGGGAAACATAGGAAAAATATATTAGTAACCGACCTTGTAAAATTTGATTGAAATCATCCTTAAAAGCATCTTAAACATTTAAAAAAATATGATCTAAAATAGATAATTTAGGTTCCAGTATGTTAAGTATTAAAACAAGAGAAGTGCTCTATAGCTAGTATTTCTATAAGTAACTAGGTCGTATATTGTTTTGAATATATTAGGATTACGTTTCTATTCTCCACCTTACCTCCAAAACTTATAATCGAACATAGATAACAATATAGCATGCTAAACATACATTCAATTATAACTACGACATTTTTGTAAACATCCAGATTCATGCAAACATCGAAACTTAAGTCCTCATGCAGCACACGCCATGTTGGTAACTCAAGTTACTTTTGTGGTAATTGTCAACTGTTTTATTAGATTCGCCATTTTAAACCAATAATTTTTGTATTTAATAAAGCTGCTTCCAGACACACATTATTTTAACTTCATTTAACGGTCTAGTGTACTTAGTTGCTCGGCTTTATACACATTAATTTGGCTGTTATATTTCGCTGCAAGTACCAACAATAAACCAATTAACGAAGTATTTTTAGGCAGATGCAGTGCAAGGCTCTCGAATATCCATAATCATTTTCGAGTAGGAGCTACATTTTTTGTTACAAAACCTCGCACAATGCTATCATTAGCGCCATCTATTGCTGCAATTGTGTAAACTACCGCACACATCGTAAAAAGCGCCATCTATCGGGCAGCAGCTCAACTGCGTCGTCATGCGACGTACCGCACTGGGAGGACCGCGTGGGGGTCGAATATACGCAGGAGCGGCGTTATGTCGTCCGTGAACCGTGGAGGGCGCCACTTGCGGTGCGCGCTGTATTTATTTTCCAAAACCCAATTTTAGTCACCCGGTTAGTCAATGTATAATTTACAATTTGAATTACCAATCACCTGTATAGTGTTAGACCCACATCTATGTTCAGTGGTTACACACTAACTACTGGGACAGGTACAATATAAATGATTAACTAACTACAACAAATTACGCTTTATGTATAGTAAAATATCGAACAGTCTCAGGAATACATAAGTATAATGATATGATATAAGAGTCTAAAATGTTAATTGGAATTATACAAATATGCTAATAACTATATTAACTACTGGAAATTTTATAACATTATGTCAGGTTGAATCATAAGTTATCATTGTAAGATAACTAATATTTTAATAAAAAACAGCAGAATACTCATGACTCTATCCTCACACGAATTTTATGCAGACTTTTTGGAACATTATGTTCCTGGCAACCCACATTCAATCCGCGCGCTTTAGATTTAAAAAATGTAATTTGAATTTTGAAAATGGAATGAAATGTCAACAACGTACTTTCTGAGGGCGTGGTCTGCGTCGGGCTCCACATCGCTGTCGAGGTGCAACCGGTCTCCCCACGTGGCTTTTAGATACGACACCCTTCGCATTGCTCTTTCTTCTTCTGCTTGATGAGGTAATAGAAAAAAAACACCATGAATCATCGATAAAATAATTACTATTTTAAAAGAAAGAAAAAGTCTATTAATTCTTGCAATCGTGCTTATGATGAGGGGGAATTTTTTTCCAATGCCAGATGATGGGCAAATGAGATGATATTGCTATTATTCAAGCCAAGTTGTAAAAAACTAGAGCAGGGTTTCTTTCAGATTTGCTTTCTACGGCATTTATAAACTCGTTTTGTAAGTACCTATGCATATGCGTCTCGAACGAATTACTTAAAAACATTCTTCAATACTGCACATTGCAGTAAAAAACCATAATCTGAAAGAGTCCCTTGTTGTTTGTATATTACGCTATCTGATACTACAAAACTTAGAACCATGCACTAACCACCAAGTTGGGCATCCTTTTTCTGTCTTCTCGTGACCAAGTCATCGGCAAAACCTGCGAGGAAACAACTTTTTAGTTTTCTCTCTTTCGCTTAAACGAATCACAGAGATTAGTATATTAGACACCGAATGATCACGACGGTTAGTCCGCATTAGTAGCACACCTATAAGCACACACATGGCATTCCGTTAATTGATAGAGAAGAAAGGTTAGATCCTGCGCCTCCTCCCCTGGGCGACTCCAAATGTCGTTGCGTACATTTGGAGTCTTGCGTTATTGGTAAGTTATAGTTGAGACCCCAATCACTTTCGAAAAGTGTTTTAAGACTTTAATGACTTTATGAATGAAAAAACTGTGTGCTAGCGACGCTGGCGTCATTGCAGCTCAAAGTGACGTTTCCACAGATATAGCAGCAGTCAAATAGTATGGAAACGTAACAATTCGCTTAAGGTACGCTGCAGCCATGGCACAAAAAGTTATCTTAGACGTACTTGCACAATTTGAATTTGACAAATCGCATAATTATCGAAACGCAGCTAAACGTTTTGTTAGTTAGTCCAATCAATGTAAAAGCTTATTCAGTTTCAATAAGAAATAAAACTGTGCAAGTGGATCTAGTCTTAAGCCTAAAGTGAGTGTGGTCTCAACCGCAGCGTAGCAGGCGTAGGGGAGAGGCGGCTAGCATGAAGTCGCGACCTGAGTCGGCGGGTGTACTCGGCGTGGGCGATGGCGAGGTCGACGCCGACGGCGGCGCCAGGCTCAGCTGCGTGGGCCTCTCAGGCCCGCTCGCCCCGGGCAGCGACACACGGTTCATGGCCTCCATTTGCTCCCTGTTCAGCCCCATTCTCCTCTTCGCGTGACTGCCATCTTGGAAAGTGTGTGCTATTAGCCGTGCGTGCCGTCTCAGTGTAACGCTGACCGTAAGCGTTTTGAAGCTACAAGCTAGTGCCCTTTGTGATTGATATTCACATGTCGGGTATCGATGGATCTGGCTATTGAATCTCGTGACATTCTAGTTTACCTTATTGAAGATAATATGGTTCTAGTATTTTACATTCATTTGGGTCGGAGGACGATGGTAATCAAGAACGATTATTTTTATTTTTACTTTATTAATTGAATATTTCTGATAGATGACACATTCGTCGAGCCAGTAGCGTTCATAGGTGTGTAGCATCCTTAATGTAGGCACGAGATTTAATAGATTCATCAGATCATGTTTCTTAAAACCGGTGGGTGTGAGACATATTATGTGTATGAAAATCTATTCGTGTTGGTGCGAAAAAGTATGATAGGAAAATTAGATCGCTATTTGCTAAGGCCTATTATTATCAATTAATCGATAACATCACCATGATGCGAGTGTGTTGTTGTGTAATTTTATTATGAAACACACATTAAAATTGAATTAAAATGTAATATTTTTAGGACATATTTACCTGTGGCATGTTGTCTTCTGATGGGTAATCCTTCACTACCGGTACTATTTGACCTTGTTCGCATTTGAACCTTTTCTGTTTCTGGAACAGATATAACGCAACTCAATAAAAAGATCCATTATGACCATTATAACACTTCACTAAAACAATAAAAAAGACACGGAAAACAAAATTTATCGCAATCAAATACGTGTAACGAGTCCGAATATTTACAATCGAGTGTCTTACTCATTCTTTAATCGTATGTTTCGGTGTTTATCTAATCAATTCATGTAAACATTAGTAGTAAAGATTACATTATGTATTTTTATTTGCTTATCATTTGGTTCATGAGAACTTGGCGAAAAATTAAAGTTAGATTAGGTATAAATAAAGTTTTAGTTTGATAAAAAGAAATCTTCCCGAGTTTTAATTAAATGGATCAATTTTGCGCATTGCAAAATATCGTAGTATAGCGAAAGGTCACTGACTGACTCATCACGAAATCTCAGAAACTGTGCCAGGAGTCTCAAATTTTGCATGGGGGTTCCTTCACTTCACTAGGGGGTAAAACGGTATCCACGCGTACGAAGTCGCGGGCGGTCGCTAGTTACATACTTATAAGTCTTGACTCGTGAGTTGAAATTTGAGACAAATAGATTTCATGTAAAAAATACTAAATTCGCAAAGTTGCCAAGTTTCCTGTGTAATTGACGCGTCCATTAGACTGCAGTTTTTGCGTGAAGGAGTAATTCACTCTCAAAAATCAAATTATATTAGTATAGATGTGTACACACAGCTAAAAAACTTCAAACAAAATAAGCTAACCGGGCACATATCCTTCTGGAGGTGGGCAATGAAGGTGCTTGCTGCCGGTGATCATGAGCTGGTTGCCGCACAGACTGCCGCCCAGGGGTGTCGCATCGTCCACATCTGCGTAAGGAACAACGGTTTAAGCCAAGCGAAGACATCTCTGGACAGTCAGGGGTCAGAGAAGAGTGCGGGAGGGTAGATTATGGCAAACAAATCGAGGTTATACAGTTGAAAGAGTCAAAGTAAAAAAAAAAACATTTTGATGCTGCTTCTCGTCATTGAGTCTTAAGATGGTTTAATCAGTCAAAACATTACTCACCAATGTACCTAATATTTCAGCAGTCTTCATTTAACTTCATCTGATAATGCTTTTTCTCGAGCTATCATGGGCTATTGCGAGTTATTACTTATTACTCGAGTAGGTATGGATATGGAGGCACAATTGCGCCAAAGACTGCCAAAAGGTTGAACTTGTTCTAGCTTAATGTACTTTCAAAGATCTGGCCACCAGCCTGGTGGGTTGCGTTTAGATCTCCTTGCGTTGCAGTGCCACACTTGGCTCAAGTTTCCACCTGAACTGGCCCATTGAGAGTTTCCTCCTAACTTACCATGTTGCAGTTGCACGTCCAGTGACCTGGCCTCGCGCCTGGCCTGGGTGGGTGGGTTCCAGGCGAGTGGTGGAGAACTGGAGAGGCGCGCCAGTTCTTTTTCCAACGGAACTGGGCCAGAGGGAGCCCTATCTCTTAGATTACGCCTTAGGCGCCTTATTTGTGGCTTACCATGTTGCGGTTGCACGTCCAGCGATCTCGCCTCGCGCCTGGCCGCTCGCGTCTCGAACTCCTTGCGTCGCAACGCCACGCTGGGTTCTAAACGAATGGTAAAGAGGCGCGCCAGTTCTTTTTCCAACGGAACTGGGCCAGAGGGAGCCTCATCTCTTAGATTACGCCTTAGGCGTCTTATTTGTGGCTTACCATGTTGCGGTTGCACGTCCAGCGACCTGGCCTCGCGTCTGGCCGCTCGCGTCTCGAACTCCTTGCGTCGCAGCGCCACGCTGGGCTCCAGGCGAGTGGTGGAGAGACGCGCCAACTCGCTGCGAGCCACTTCTGTGCGCCTCTCGCCACCTCCACGAGCTTCTTCTAGTTGCCGAGTCCTCGCCGTCACTAGTTGCAGCTCTGGTACTGGGTATCTAGATAGAAAACATGGACGAAAATCATATGTAAAGCATAAGGTTCAATTAATAAAATTGGTGAACGATAAAGAGTTAATTCAGCACATTAAACCGTGTTGGCACGCACCTGTTATCCTGATTATTCGGGTCTTCTTTGTCTCCATTTGTGACAGTCCCAACATTATTGCTCTGAATACTAGGCGCCGTTTCTTGAATCTTCGATAGGGTCGACACAAACTGGTTCTTGTCCTGTTTTAACCTGCCTCGGTCGTTGTGTGTTCCGTTCACCTCCCCGTAGCCACTGTATGTTCCGCTGTCTACGCTCGCGGAGCATTCCTCTTTCTTCTGTTCCTGGTTCTGCTGGTGTGTGGGAGGGGGAGAGGCGGCGAGGGGAGGGGACGCCGCAGGTGGCGGCCATGCTGGCTTCTGTAGTTTCTGTGGTCGAGCATAGAATTCCTTCTGCTTGATCGGCGGTGGAGCGTCAGGGGTGACCCAACCGGTCGGCTGACTCGGTCGTCGGAGAAAAGCCTCTTTTTGCTCGAGACTTTTGCGTATTCGGGATAAGATGATCGAGTCGTCGAGTTCTCGGCCGGTAAGCGTTGAATTCGAATCGAAGGAGCCAAGGCTATCTTTGCTCTCGGCAGCTGACGAAGGCAACGACGTATCGGATTCCCGTCTGCTGTAATTTAAAAAACACTTTGTTATTTTGTTCGTTGTGAATGCACGAGTAAGTAAATAACTGTTACACGCTCGAGGCAGCTATTTAATTAAATTGGAGACAAAAATAAAGCAAGTATCAAGACAAGCGTGAAGCGTGTAATTGATTGTGAAGTTTCATTCACGAGAATTCGCTGAGGCAAATCAACTTTTCGTTTACTCGACATGCTTTGGATACTTGTTGTAATAATATCCAAGTTTGCTCTATTTTATATTATTACACTTGGTGTATTCGTTGTGAAAAGTATGTGAACGTTTTTGTTAAGTTCTTTTCGTTCTCATTTCTATTTAGCATTATCAAGATGAAGTCAACGATGGTCGTGTCGTGACTCGTCTCTAGTTTACAATTTAAATAAATAATTATCACGCACGAATACCAATACTAATTAGGCGCGAGCATAATTACACTCTTACAAATCTATTCTTAGATATTTATTGGCAATGACAATGAACTTTAGTATCAGTACAGAATAATCACTTCGTTTGCTATTTTTAGCTAATATGGACTAAAAAGACCACGTAAAAGTTTATATGAGCACTCTTCCACCCACTCCCACATATTGGTTGGAACGATGAATTCTACATAGTAAATTTATTTTAAAACCTACATCGTCGTTGTGAAAAATAATAACCAGATTGCTTAGACATACTATTAGAAACATAAGTACGTTAGAAATCTGTTGGTGATTGGGGAAGATTCTTTGGGTAGTCCAGCCTGGTAAAACACGCGCGATAACCTCGCGATTTCTGAGTGGTTTTCATTGGAAAGCACTGAGGCGGTAACCCTGCGGTTATGGTTTGCGTACGAGAACTGCCCATCAGCCGCGCGATTATCGCTGTCTGAACTAGGCCTTAAAGAAGAAGCACTCATATTATCTTGTGACTAATTTTAAGTAGTTATATTTATTTACCTGTCATGCAAAAGATAGTGCTGCGGTCCGGCCAATCTCGCGTCGAACCTCGTCGGCGCGAGCGAAGCCACCGTCGCATACTCGGGGTCGTCGCGCAGCCTGGCCGGCGCTTGGGGGGCCGGCAGCGCAGCCCTAGGCCTGCGGTATGCGTCGAACAGCCGCGACTCGTGCTCCGTCACCGGGGCCGGCATCTCTAGTTGCCGCTGGTTCGATTCTGGGTTGTACGCGGCTTCGCTGAAATACTGGAGACGGAATAGGGTTTGAGAACAACAATTCGGAGATGCTGGACTAAGAAATTTATGGCATGGGGCTGATAGATTGTTATTATCTTGATCTCTGCGTCAGTTGGACAACTCTGGCGTAAGGCGCCCTAGAGCGGCTGCAGGCAACCAGTTTCCCTTGATGGCCAGTAATGAGAACTATAGCTAATTGTAGCACACTCACCCGTTGCAACAAGTCGTGGTCCCTCGGCACTACTGTAAGCTTGAGCGTCCTGGGCTCCCTCTGCGCCAGCTGCACCACCCTGGCGTACGGCGCCCTAGAGCGGCCGCAAGCGACCAGCTCGGCATGGACATCCAATACTAAGAGCTATGGGTTACTAGCAAGACTCACCCGTTGCAACAAGTCGTGGTCCCTCGGCACTACTGTAAGCTTGAGCGTCCTGGGCTCCCTCTGCGCCAGCTGCACCACCCTGGCGTACGGCGCCCTAGAGCGGCCGCAAGCGACCAGCTCGGCATGGACATCCAATACTAAGAGCTATGGGTTACTAGCAAGACTCACCCGTTGCAACAAGTCGTGGTCCCTCGGCACTACTGTAAGCTTGAGCGTCCTGGGCTCCCTCTGCGCCAGCTGCACCACCCTGGCGTACGGCGCCCTAGAGCGGCCGCAAGCGACCAGCTCGGCATGGACATCCAATACTAAGAGCTATGGGTTACTAGCAAGACTCACCCGTTGCAACAAGTCGTGGTCCCTCGGCACTACTGTAAGCTTGAGCGTCCTGGGCTCCCTCTGCGCCAGCTGCACCACCCTGGCGTACGGCGCCCTAGAGCGGCCGCAAGCGACCAGCTCGGCATGGACATCCAATACTAAGAGCTATGGGTTACTAGCAAGACTCACCCGTTGCAACAAGTCGTGGTCCCTCGGCACTACTGTAAGCTTGAGCGTCCTGGGCTCCCTCTGCGCCAGCTGCACCACCCTGGCGTACGGCGCCCTAGAGCGGCCGCAAGCGACCAGCTCGGCATGGACATCCAATACTAAGAGCTATGGGTTACTAGCAAGACTCACCCGTTGCAACAAGTCGTGGTCCCTCGGCACTACTGTAAGCTTGAGCGTCCTGGGCTCCCTCTGCGCCAGCTGCACCACCCTGGCGTACGGCGCCCTAGAGCGGCCGCAAGCGACGGGCTCGCCGTTGACGGCCAGCACCCGGTCGCCGGCGCGCAGCCCCGCCGCCGCCGCCGGCCCGCCCGGCCGCACCGACCTTACGAAGATCGTGTCCATTGGCGCGCCGACCGCGCCCACGGCCAGGTGACGCGCATCCTCGTATAACTCCTGGAATAGACAACGTGTTAATCAAGGCCTGGTTCAGACACGCGTGATAACTGCGCGGTTTCTGGGCGGTTCTCATTGGGAAGGCAATGCCGGTAACCGTGCGGATACGGTTTGATGCAAATGTACGAGAACTGCCCAGCAACCGCGCGATTATCGCTGAGTCTGAACCAGGCCTAAATATGAACGTAGTCAATGCATCAGCATGTATGCTATGATATTCATAAGGTGTAGAACATTGGCTGCACTTTAGAGTACAAAAAGCTGGGCGCGAAGGTTTTTCTTTGTATCTGCGAAATTCTGATCATCAGGGTTTTCAAAAAGAACAATGTTTCCGTTGCTCCTCATCTTTATCAAAGACTTGAGGCTACAGTGGCTAATGGACGTCAAGTTGCAGCTAAATGTATTCTTATTGAAAACAAATCTTGTTTCGGAATCACTTCTAAATGTGACCATGTAGAGCGGCGCAGAAACTGTCTGATTTCCATAACAACAGCATCAATAGGTAGATACAAACTTATAGGGGAAAGTCCGGTCGCCGAGAAGATAGAATTTTGTCCATGTCCAATGACCCAAAGCTCTGTGACCTGTGTAACGGGTGGCCGCTGTGAGTGTGCAACAACAATATAATTACAGGCGAGCGATAAGGATGGGTAGCTTGGGGTCATTGTACGAAATTCTATCTGCTCGGTGACCGGACTTTAACTAAGATTATCTTATTTCCTAAAAGCAAACCAACCTGCAGCGACTCCGGCGGATACACAACTAAGTGTCGCAGCGTGAACCCGAAGCCGTGCCTCGCGTCGGGCCGCTGGATGACGATGGTGCGCGGCGCAGCGTGCAGCGGGCCCGTCGCCCAACGGTTGAGCGTGAGCGACCATATCAAACATATCCCATAGCAAACTAACCTGCAGCGACTCCGGCGGGTACACAACTAAGTGTCGCAGCGTGAATCCGAAGCCGTGCCTCGCGTCGGGCCGCTGGATGACTATGGTGCGCGGCGCGGCGTGCAGCGGGCCCGTCGACGCGGGCGCAGCCGTCGGCGGTGGCAGCGCCAACGGTTGAGCGTGAGCGACCGGTTGCGGCTGTTGACAAAAAGGAAGGATTTAGTTTTATTGCTGAGACTGGTATTGAAACACCCAACTAGACCAAGGCTAATTATAACTTAAGATTTTTAATTAAACTTAAAAATAAAATTGTCCCCATAGCTCAGTGATCAGAGCTGTCATCGGGCAAAAGGTTATGGATTCAATTCCCACCGGAGGCAATCGATATAATTCAAGAAAAGATTTGAGATGCAACTCTTGAATGCTAAAAATTGTAATAACTTGAGACTTCTGTTAAACATTGAAATTCTCATGATTCTATGTGTGAAAAGACTTGTAGAAAACACTAAAAGTTATCTACGTGAATCTTAATTAAAATCTCAATTACAATAATAAAAGCTAGAAATGATGTTGTAATAATTTAAGTTGTGAGAACAGGAATGATGTTATCTGCCCATTTTATGGAGACATCGAAAGCTCCTGTTGAACTGGATATAACAATCAGCATAAAATTGCTGTACATGCAATAACACAAACTCATTTCAGAGCAATAAATAGGAGCGACATGGTACAGTCAGATGCAAGAAATGTAACACATTGACATTACTAAGCCGAAGAAAATCAAGAAATATTTTATTGAGTCTTATTTCATTCAAACTTGTTCGCGAATTAAAATATCTTGTTGCCAGGACTTTGAGCTCATGTGTCCTCCTCCTTACAATAAGTTTTAGTCAGATTGTCTAAAACCGGAAGAGTAGCGGATCTGCTTATTATCCTACCTAGTCGATTTACATATTTTACAAACTTAATTATATTGAGCTAGTGAGAAACCATATATGTAAACTCGTTTTTTTTTATGTGACAGGAGGCAAACGAGCATTCGGATCACCTGATGGTAAGTGATTACCGTCGCCCATAGACACCCGCAGACCCAGTTACAGATGCGTTGCCGGCTTTTAATGTGAAGATACGCTACGTACGATACGTGTAATAACAGTTATTAAATAAACTTGCACGAACGTTTTTAAAGAAAATGAAAGTAATATCTATCCGAGTGTACACGCGTAACGGGTTGCCGGTGGCACCGTGTTCTGCACTAATTAATATGCGGATAAGGAGCGCGGGCGCAGCTCATTTGTGCGGACCAGAACCGTCACAACTGCTCGCTCAGTTAGCCGCGAGTGTCATAGCAGACTCGTAATATACTGCTTGACTGGACAAGCTGTTGAGCAAAAATCTAGGCTAGGCGAGTTCAAAATTGTGAATCAGTAAGGATGTAAATGCAGTCAAGCCCGTAAGGGCTGTACTTAATTAAGATTTAATCATCTAGAATTTTAAGCAAAACGATTTTAAAAACAAAATTGATCGGACCTACTTCTGTGTACAAGTGAAAAACAGACCTGCTTAAAACAATCATATTACGGTTCTTCTGTCAATATGCGGATAAGGAGCGCGGGCGCAGCTCATTTGTGCGGACCAGAACCGTCACAACTGCTCGCTCAGTTAGCCGCGAGTGTCATAGCAGACTCGTAATATACTGCTTGACTGGACAAGCTGTTCTGAAAAATCTAGGCTAGGCGAGTTCAAAATTGTGAGTCACTAAGGATGTAAATGCAGTCAAGCCGTAAGGGCTGTACTTAAATAAGATTTCACATCGAGTATTTAAAAAACCTACCAGTACTTACGTACCTACTTTTTTTTAATAAGCACCACTTAAAAACATACCTGCTGAGAACAATCAATCAAAATCAAAAATATTTTATTCAATTTAGACCACTAGTGGCACTTATGACAATCATACAGTTCCTCTGTAAACGAGGGTTTAGATGGGTAAATAGGTTTTGGCGTACATGACTTTGCGTGAGACGTAATGACCAAGGTTTACAGCAGAGTTTACAGTTCTTAGATTCTTAAGTCCTTCATAAAATGTATTCTCTACTTTATGTTGGTAATTGCAAAGACTAAATAGGTTCATCGTCTTTCAACAATATTCGCTAGATGTTTTTTGCGATTTGCCCTAAAGTGGAAAACGTTTAATGGGAGAAATTGTGTGGATTGTGTATAGTGCATGTTCCAAGAGTGGGACACGGGAGTGGGCCAATGTACTAGGACGCTTTCCTTCCAATAAAAACTTAAGTGACGAATAGGAATGGCCATTTAGTACGCGTTGTTATTTCCATTAACCGTGCGTGTACGTTACCATGAAAGATCGCTTATTACCTACTTATTGTCTTTTTATTGGCTCTTTAGAAACCTAAGGCAGCTGCATATGGACATGGTCTATAAAATTATTATAAATACGAAAGTGGCTGTCTGTTTCTACGATTTCACACCGCAGGAACTACGGACTAGTCGAATTCAGAACTTAGAACCAAATCAATGCCATTTTTTTAAAATTAGCTAGTGAGATTTGTAAATTGTTTTAGCATACTATTTCTTGCAAAGCTTTTTTTACAAGCTTACTTACACTTGGAATGCTTTTAAACACCTATTTCAGGTCACAAACTTAAACTATTTCTTTGCCCTGATTTGCAATTGTCCTGTCGCCTACAATCGCTGCAGTAGATTAAAAGTAATCAAGTCTCGAAATTCTTCTGCTCTATTCATCTTATATCACTTCAGTCCATAAATCAAGTAAATCCCTTAATAATCCTGCGGTAATCCGAGGCACGTCAGGTTGTCGCAGCGTTCCCGCCACGGACTCGTTACGTCGGCGATTACGCTGCGCCCACGCCGCGTCATCGCTACGACTCGTTTGCGATTTCACAAGTTCAAGACTTGCAGACTTATGACTAAGATACTGGGTAGGTGGAAGATAGAGTTATGTGCATGGTTTTAAATAAATATTACTTTTAAAGGTAAATCAATGTGGAGCTCGTATGTTTTACAGGTTCAATACACTTATCAGTAAGAAAAGATTTCCTAAGGAAACTTTTTTCTGAACTGAATATTTTAGATTACAAAGTGAAAACTAGTACATCAGATAAAAATCTTCGGCCACTTCTGGCACAGGATACTTTTAATTATAGTGTACAGTCAGCCCAAAAAGTATAAAGTAAGTTTTTTTGTAAAATGTAAGATACCAAAGTAGGCACCGCCAATAGCAAATTGGTAAAGTAATTGACGAAAATTAAGTTCTCTATCACTTTAGTTAGCAAAAACAATAGTGACCTGTTTGGTCCTATAAACGTGACAATATAAGATAGACATATCTCCGTTCAATAATCCTATGGTATGATCACGGTAATACTATCTATACAGTATTCCAACTCGACCATATTTTTGAAATAAATGTCAACAGCCGCGCGGAACGTCACGGTATGACAACATGCGATAGGGCTGCCCACCTGCAGACCCTATTTTCATTACATCTGCCTACTTAGAATTTCTATCTAGTTTTGTAAATGTATTTTGTGATTGTAATTTTTTTATTTTATTTTGACAAACTAAATACTTTGTGAATGAAATAGGATAAAAATGCATATTGTTTTGTGATTAGTAGATTTAATTAAAAAATAAATTTGTGTTAAGATTTAGTAACAAATCTTATAAATTTGCGACCGTAAAATGTATGCGCCTCGACAGAGGCGTACAAAATGCTTGATTATACAGGATGTTAGGTAAATGGGTTTAAAAGCCGACACTAGCCCATGTTAACATGTGCACAAATGGTATGATGAAGGCAGAAAATTGATATCATCATTTTAATCATTTTAATTTTCATACAATTTTTAATCTGATTTTATAAATTTTATTTTGTATGAAAATTAAAAAAGAAATGATGATATCACTGACTTCACCATACCAATTAATGTTAACATGGGCTAGTGTCGGCTTATAAACCCATTTACCTAACACCCTGTATAAATAGGTACTTTATTATTTTTATAAAAAAACGAGCGTTAACTTTTAAAAACCAACACATGTGGCACATTCGCGACACCCCCGACTTTTGCATGTCGAGCGCATACCGAGATTTGAATTTCGAAGGAAAGCTCGCGTTTCGTCCGTTTATATGAAGTTACAATACTGTATGATATTATTACCGTGGTATGATCGTAGCGAATTTTTGGAAAACTTTAGAATTTAGTCCCTTAACACTACTTACCTACTCTGAAATCAATTCGAAATAGCCACAAATGTTTACAAAATAATTTTTTGAAGCTGATTGTACCCAATAAGGCGAACAAAAGAAGCCCCACTCACGCGCATCACAGTGTCAAATTACCGAGATTAAGTCGCCGGTAACCAGATTTCTGGACACGTTCCCTGCTTCCGGCTTTGTAAGGCTACCTTGTGAGGAACCCTTTTTTTAATCGTTTTAATAAGTACTTAAAAATATGATGTGTTCTTCTGACTTCAGTAAGATATTGGAAAAAAATCCAGCGTCAGGAGGTTGAGGCCAATAGTCGACGGGACAATTCACGATCAGGTCTGTTTCAGGAACATGAATAAGGAAAATAATTGATACCTACCTAAGTAAGTTTATTTATATTCCTGAAGCCGATTTTTTTTTTCTAATGAAGCCTTAAGCGAGTGTTTTTAAATAAAAATAATTTAAGAAGTGCCAACAAACTAGAATAAGATTTAGAACTTAAAAACTGTGCACTGGACTGTAGTCTATTTGTAAACTCGAGGAGCGCCATGTAATCTAATGGCTCTAGACAAGATAGATAGTAATTAATCAGTGAAACCTATATCAGGCTACAAAGCAGTCAGGCCAGCTTGACCATCGTTAGCTTGTCAAATGACAGTTTTACTGTGATTTATTGACCACAGAACATTGTATAATGCGCTCCCAAGATAACCTAACGTAACTCCCGACGTAACCATAGACAAATTAATTAATAATTCAGAGACAAGCAGTAAACAGATTGCTACCTGTTTAGTATAGTAAACACTATGTTTCAAGCAGTCCGAATGTGATTAATGATTAATGAAAATCGCTCGTTTCAGACGTAACACACGGGTATAAAGCGGTAAGTAATAATTCACGTTGAATTACTACAGCGGGAAAGGATACGGTAAGTTCTCTCTAAATCTTCTATGAAAAGTGACTTCCATAGGTGTACAGAACCTCTAGCATGAACAACTTTCGTCTTCAATCGTTTGCGTATTCGACAAAATTCGATACTCAACCTTCGAATTAAACGATAACGTGACAATTTTGATTCTCAAAATAAGTTTTGTGCAACTAAGTTCACTTTGCGACACGTTCACAAGGGCGCTGATGTAGGTAGTTTTCGTACTAAATCTTTTGATGGCGATTCGAATACGCAAACGATTCGAACTCGAAAATTTTTCGTGCTAGCCGTACCGACGACAAAACATCAGAATATACATTTTTGTTGCATATGTGCTTTTAGTAATACGAAAAAAGGCCCTTCAGTGTAGAACCTGATGTGCCGCCTTGGCTGTACAATGCGTGCGAGTAAATATTAATTGATTCAATTGGAAGGTCCTGTAGGTTATTTCGTGCTTTAGGAGGCATGCAAGTTGGTATACATGAGGCTTACGAGCCACAAATACTAAATATTGCTACATAAGCATGATGATACCTAAATGAAGATGTCGCTAGGGGGGTAATGCTACCTTATACCACTACATTTTCGCCTTATACGCGGTAACTCAGTGAAAATTTATGCGTTTTAATATCGTGTACACCCAACGTGCAAGTCATCCGTCACTGTCTTCATATTGGAGCTTAATTATGAATCTATCTTGCTTAGTTTGTCGCACCTTGTTTCCTGTAAGCATGTTTATTAAAAAGTTATTAAACCCGCACTTGGTAAGGTAAAGGCTTCTCTTCACTGCGGCCAAGGAGCTAATATTACTGTATTACTAGTACGATGGATATATTTTATGAAGACACGCAAGTACCTACTTGGGTAGGTATTTTATGTATTTGAAAGGTTATAAATACTATTACCTAAGTAAGAGCATCGTAATACTCGTGGTAAGAGGTAGGCCCACAACTTTTGATGAACTAAGTAACTGATTTACCAAAGGCATATTTTCGAAATTACATCTTGAAATCACAGGAAATAACAGCTTAAATGTTATCTTTCAGCAAAAATCTTCAGAATTTCAAATACAATTAGGGAAATGTATTACATTTACTATGTTTAAAATAATTAGAACTCTACGTTAGTCATAATGTTAACGCATGCGTGCACCGGATAGAAAATCAAGTCAAAAGAGAATTTTGCATCTTCTAAAAGGTTAGGTGAACACGGAAAGCCGTAATAATTAGTGTTAATAAACAATTTTTAATGTCTAAGCTCGCCATTTTACGATTCATAAAAAGTTCCCACATCTAAGTAAAAGTAAGCGTTGATATAAAACGACACTTTGCCTAGTAAAGCCGGACATTGGGGTCCGTATTTATAAAACAAAGTTTAAGAAAACGCGATACAATCTCAGTTACAGATTCCGTCCTAGTCCTATCTATCTAAATTTTGAAATTCAACCAAAAGCTTGAGGAGAGAAAGCTTGAGCCAACTTGAGACCTACGCTGGAAATTTAATCGAGTTCCGAACTTGATACATAGTTTATTCCATCCAGTGAAATTACTCTCAAGACTCGAGTCTAACCCAAGCATTGATGCAATCCTGAGATTCTATTATTGAGTGTAGATTCATACTCGTTTTGTAATACGGGTCTTACTAAGGCTGATCCAATCGTAAACAATTCGAATAGCCGTTGACATCAAAACTTTATTGTTCCCGATGAAATCGAGAGGATATCACTAAGAACAAACTAACGACCGAGAGAAAGTGCAACAAACACGCACTCTTTTACGATGCGATCCTTTCTGCATTAATTTACAATAATTATGTAGAATACATGTTGATTAAGCAAATAATGAAATGGAGTCTGTTATTTTGTATTTAAATTGCAAAACTGTTATCGAACTGCATTTCAAGTTACAGTTCATTCCTGGAGAAGTTACTTAAGTAAGTACTTTATTTACTTGAATGAATAATATTCATACATAAGTTGCTTTTTGCTCTTCGTGGTACAAAGGAGAGACATATTTATAGCCTAGACTTGTTTAGGTTTGTAAACATAATAAATTGTTTTTCTCCATAGAAGTCTAGAGACATTCAGGTGTCTATAATTTACGGTTTGATGGAGCTAAACACTGTGGAATATTATGTAATTTTAATGGGTGCGATTTTACAACAAAAAATAGATTTAGTTGAATCCAATTGGACAAAAATTTGAGATGCCTGGATGCGGACGGCGCAGGACCAGTTTTTGTGGAAAACCTTGGGGCTACCACAAGGTCCTTTGCCTTCTTATGGTCCTCCTATGGTACCTCCTTATGGTCCTTTGCCCAGCAGTGAACGTCTTTCGGCTGAAACGGACGGACAAAAATTTGAAAATTTACATGAAGGATATGATATACCCAAGAATTTTCCTGGCGCATAAAATCACAGAAGATATTTACGTATCCTACCAATCACAATTTTAGTACATTTATTGAGCTTTACATAAGAGCCATAACGTAAACAAAATTATATCTTACCGGTTGAGTCGTAAACTTTATCGTCAGTACCTACTCGCGTATAAATATTTACGACTTTAAAATTGTCAGTATTAAAAGTACGTCCGGAGTCTCTATTGTTTACATTTTTGCAGGGGAAAATGGCTTTTCCCAGTATCTATAGGTATCTACTTATCTATACTAATATTATAAATGCGAAAGTAACTCTGTCTGTCTGTCTTGCTTTCACGCCTAAACCACTGAAACGATTTTGTTGAAATTCGGCTTAGAGATAGTTTGAGTCCCGCGAAAGGACATAGCATAGTTTTTTTCCCGGTTTTTGAAACAGGGACGCGCGCGATAAAGTTTTTCTGTGACAGACAAAATTCCATGCGGGCGAAGCCGCGGGCGGAAACCTAGTAATAAATATCATCATCATCATCAGGTCATCTAGTCTCCACTGCTGGAGTACGGCCTTCTCTAATTTACCAGAGGCAAATGGAGAAATATAGAAATTACATAAACATAATGTTTAGTTTATGAAACGACTAGATGACAATAATATAAGTATGAACGTTTTCCAAACTAAGTTATTAATCTAAGCATGAGACAGATAAGGAAATTGATATATTTAGTACTAAATTACCTACCTAATCCTTTCATTAGTGTCCGCTACCGTAATTGTGGTGGCTTAATAGTTTGATAGTGATATTGATCTCTCAAATCGATCCAGTAATGGGTCTGACAATTAAATCTTACCGTTTGTGATTACGTCCAACGATTGCGTTATAAAGTTAGTGAGATTATTGGCTCGTAATGGATCAATTAGTTTTATATTAAGAGGCAGAATAAGTACATACGATTAGTAGTCAAGTATTATAAGTAATAGTTACTGATAAATAATATATTTGTAATCAAAGATTGAGGGATGTCTCTACCATTAACTGTATTAGCTAAAATAAACTGGTGCAGTTATAAGTTTAGTTTTATTACTTTTCCAACTCAGCGCAAACAAAATGAACACAAAATTTATCTTAATATAATTCCAAATCTAATGGCCATTAAAATTCAATCATAAAATATTATACGATAGAGATGTTAACCCGTCACACCAGACGGGGGTAGAAACGTCCATGACGTCAAAACTTTATACGTTTCGCGATTCGTTGAACCTGGGTTCCTAATGTTCGTATAAATAGCAGATTCAAATTCAGAATAATTCAATTCTAAAATAGAAAGAAAGAAAGAAAGAAAGAAAGATACATTTATTACAGTGGACATCACACAAATACAGGCAATTACATAGACATGACAGTGGCACATAATAATAAAAGAAGAAAAAATAAAAACAAGAGTAAACTGAGCAGTGCCACCCATTCACCAACCAAATAAAGTCCCCACGAACATTTTGTTTGGGTTGAATTATACATGACCGAATATATTCTATTTTTGGAGCAGATATTAAATTTGTCTACGCGGTTCGTTACAAAGTTCTGTTTGGGCGACAGATTTGTGTTATTTTTAGTTATAAAATGACATTGCTAACGAGTCCAGAATTAGATTGGTAGATAAGTGACATAACTTACTGTGGTTGTTATTTTAAATATCTCTCTAAATGGTCTCACTAGATAAAGCAATAGTCGTGTTTTAAATTTTAATTGTAATAACATATTTTTATAGTAAAAATATAACACGTTATTAACACTTTCGTGTTGCTAAACGTGTTATATTTTCGGAAGTAAATGCTGTGTCATTAAAATGTATGAGAGCAACATTAAATCATCGCCCCTACAAAAAACGCTCTACCTCGACAACAATGTTTCATGAAAGACGACCCCGCAGTAAAAGTTGTTGTTATTGACAAGTACCTTCGGTTCTATAAATATGACACAAATTGATATTAACAAGACCGATATTAGTGAAGAAGACCACTAGTTTGCATAACCAGCGCCAACCTACAAAATTTAAGTACTTTTTTAATAAAACACCGACAAAATTAATGTGCGGACATAAAAAAGTACTTAGCGTAATTACAACGTCTACAAAGTAACATAACATGTTGAAATATTAATAACCAAGCAAAAACTAGTATTAAAACAGTAGTAAAGAAGCGTGGGAGTTGAAACCTTGATCGATTTACCGATAAATCGGCCAATCTCGGAGAAAATAGTCACCGGGTCAGGTTCTGTGATTGACAGCCCGACTGGGGCTTATCAAGCTATAAGGCCAGCCATACACGAACTGCTTCAAGCATGCTGCTGTCATTCATTCGCTGCCATACACACGACTGCTCGAGCAGTCCTATAGTTCACCGCGCGGTCGCGGCTTCAAGCAGTCTGTCTCAACAGCTGCTTGACTATAGTTCACCGCTCGGTCGCAGCTTCAAGCAGTCGGTCTCAACTGCTTGAAGCAGTCCATGTGCGGTTGGCCTAATGATAACAGCGGAACCGAGGTAAAAGCTGCAAAGTGATTACAAGAGCGTTGTCGTGGACTTGTGTGGGTATTTGTGCACTTTTTCTAGGGTTTCTTTTACAAGAGACAGACCCGTATTATTAAACAATACTTATAAAATACGAGATGTGGATGACTTTGACAACAGGTCAATGTCATGGAGTTTTGGAGGCCATTTATTCGCGTTAATATCTTACTTTGTAATTATAACTCAAATAAGCTTTATACAGTGTGAGTCACGTTAAAGTGTACATATGAAAATAGATAAAACTAGACCTATTTTTATCGACAAAAAAGAGGTCAAATTTTTTTTGAGATTTTTTTTTAATTTTTTATAGATTTTTTTTTCTTCCAATTACTTATTGTAAAGAAAACGTAATAACTTTTAAACTAAGCGGTATATCATGATAAAATAAAAACAGTAATAATGCTAAATAACAGGCGATACTGAAAAAATACATAAAATACCCAGAAAATGCCAACAAATAATAAAAAAGGAGACTTTTTGAAAAAAATCTGCTTAAAAATTCGTATTTTTTTGGTTATTTGATGAATTTCTCAAAAAAATGCCCCTACAACAGGTGGTTTTTATTAAGTACTTTGTATTATTTTCTATCATATTATCTTTGTAAAACCAAAAATCGCATGTCTCTATCCCTATCACAACATTTGCTATGATCGTTTGAACAAAGGCCTGCCACAACATTATTCTCCGCTACAGGTAGAGACAATTTTAATTTTAACTAAAATGCTTATTTTACTTCGAAATCTTTTGTTTTTATTTGAAATGTAACTTGTCTTTATCAAAATTACAAAT